TTTTTTACGCTGAATTTAAGATATGGACAAGCATATAGATATATACAAAGTCATATCCTTCAACTTTGTAAATTTACTTCTGGGAATCTTGCGAAGAAAATAATTTTAAATACAGATCATGAGCTTTATACGCAGAGATGTTCCTTTCTTCATAGTTTTTTTTTTTAATTGAGATATAATTCACATATAAAATTCACTGTTTAAAGTGTACAGGTTATTAGTTTTTAATGTAGTCACAAAGTTGTGCAACTATCCTCACTACCTGGTTCCAGAACACTTATCACCCCCAAAGGAAACCCATACCCATTAGCAGTCACTCCCTATTCTCCTTTCCCCCAGCCCCTGACAGCCACTGATCTACTTTCTGTCTTTATGGGTTTGCCTATTCTGGATGTTTCTTACAGATGAATCCACGCAACATGTGGTCTTCTGTGTCTAGCCTTTTTCACCCAGCACAGTGACATCCATGTTGTGGCATGTGTCAGTACTTCATTCTCTTTTTATGGCTGAATAATATTCCATTGTGTGGATAGACCATGTTTTATTTATCCATTCATCAGTTGACGGCCCTTAGTTGTTTCTGCCTTTTGGCTGTTGTGAATAATGCTGGTTATGGACATTGTTTTGTGTGGACATATGTCTTCATTTCTCTTGAGTATACACCTAGGCATAGAATTGCTGGGTTGCGTGGAAACTCTGTGTTTAACTGTTTGAGAAATTGCTGAACAGTTTTCCAAAGCAGCTCTCATGAATATTTTTATTAGTGGAAATTAGGAAATGATATGCCTATCAATAGTAGGAGAGTGCTCAGGTAAATTATATTAATCCCCTTAGCAAACTGCGAAAACGCAAGTTATTTATTCCTAGACCAGGTGCTGCACGTCAAAGGCAGTGGAGACAGAGTAATTGTTCTCAAGGAGCTAAAGCTGTTCAGCTGTTCCAGGTGATGTTTACAAATAGTTTATAACAAGGGGGTGCAGAAGGACGGAATAATTCTGCTATAGTGTAGGCCATCTCCAGTAATTTTGGGAGCGACTCAAGGTATAAATTAATAAGTAAACATGTTACAAAGCTGAGTGAAAAAGGCAGGATAGAAAATTATATATACTGTATGATCGTGTTTATGTCAGAAAAAAACCCAAAAAGAACACATAAAAAAAAGAGATGGAGGAAAACACACCAAAACAGGAAGAATGGTTGTATTTGAGTGGTGGTACAAATGGACATTTCTCTCCTATTTAGGTGCATTCCCTCAACTTTCTGTAATGGAAACAAAAATGTCCCCTAGTCTGTGTCTGGTGACTGTGGAAAGGAATTGGTGGGAAAAATCTAGCATCAAGTTTTGGGGAGATGAGAACTCAAGAACCTGGCATACTTGTGGGTGAAGATGGCACCTTGGGCTTGCCTTGGGGAGAACTTGTAACACCAATCCAGGGGTCGGCCCTGGCAAACTCAGTGCTGTGTACTTTTGCAGAGAGCCACTGTGCTTGAGGAAGAGCCATTGGACAGCAGTGTCTCCAGCCAGTTTGGCGGGGGGGGGGGGGTGACCATTGGCAGGATGAAGGGTCACGAGATTGTCCTGGATGAACCCACCACGTTGCTGACGGGGCTGGTTGTCCCTGGCTGAGTCTGACATCTTTCCTGAGTGGCTCCCAGCCTCACCCTGACATGCAGGAATCATGCTTTTCAGCTAACAACAGCCAGAAAGCACTCCTTGCTGAAAAGCCAGCACCAGAAGCACTCCACTATTCTAGGCTCCAGACGCCCAGACATTACCCTTCTGACAGTGAAACGGGAGCCAAGATTTATTCAGCTCTCCTCATTGTCGCAATGTGACCAAATAGATTCTGAAACTGAATAACTCATTTGAAGTGATTTACTCATTACTGAAGTAATGTTACCCACTAACACCTTTCTTGGGAGAAAAACACCATTTTGATATTAGTACAGTTTTGAATATTAGTGTTGGCGTGTGCTGTGCAACAGAAAACCACGAAGTCTGTCCCATAAATATTTTGGAATGATAATTAGGACAATAAATTTAGACATTCTCAGTGCTATTGTTGAAAATCATGCCAAAATTTGTCTGTATATAATGAAGTTGCAACTGTCTGGAAGTCAGGAGGGTCTGTCGTCCTGATAGATAGATGGATGAATCAAAATAGCAGTGTAGATGTTTATTTTAATGTTCTTGAATAGGACGAAAAAACTTTCTGTGCATTTCACTGTCTCCTAATAGAGGACAACCTGGATCATCACCACAAATGTCTCCTATGGCATCTGATAGACTGGGAAAGGATGTCAGGGCTTATGTATTTTATTAGTTATCTGTTGCTGTGTCACGGATTACCCTGAAATTTGGTGGCTTCAAATGTCAGTGAGCATTATGTTACATTATTTCTGTGGTGCAGGAGTTTAGGAGACGTTTATCTGGGTGACCCTTGTTTGGGGTCTCATGAGGTGGTGTGGTCAAGATGTTGGCTGGGGCTGCAGTCATCTGAGGGCTTGACTGGGGCTGGTGGACCCATTTCCAAGGTGGTTCACTCATGGCTGGCAGGTTGGTGCTGGCTGTTGGCAGGAGTCCTCAGTTCTTCTCTATGTGGGTCTCTCCATTGGGCTTCTTGAGTGACCTCGCAACATGGCTGCTGGTTTCCCCTAGAGCCAGCAATCCAAGAGAACAAGGTGGAAGCACAGTGTCTTTTATGACTTTACCTCAGAGGCCGTACACCCTCATTTCCACACTATCCTGTTGGTTGCACAGCTCAGCCCTGTTTAGTGTGGGAGGGGACTCCACGAGGATGGAAACACCAGGAAGAGGAGGCATTGGGAGCCATCTTAGAAGCTGGCTGCCATGGGTGTCCCGCTGCACATGAGTGTGTTTCACAGTGTAATGGATGAATCTACTGAGTGAGTTTGTGTGCTTCTCCCTGCTGTCAGCTGCTGCCTTTGCTGCATTCTCCCTGCACAAGGGATCCCTGTCCTTGCCTTCTAGTTTACCACTTCTGTCTTTTGAGAATTGGAAAATATCATCGTTGAGCCTGTTCGCACTACTGTCAAGTGAGTAAATGGGCTAAAAGTGTGGCCCTGTGGACTGAGGAGACTAACAGCAAGGATTCGGTAACTTCTCTGTGGGTGCAAAGACCTTGCTCTTGCTAATGAGCTGGACTCCGAGAGGCGTGACTCCTCATTGGCTTGCTTCTAGGTTCTCATTCCTTGGATGGTCATGCAAACTCCATGCTCTGTTTAGAAAGGAAGTGGAGTCAGAGACATGGATTCCGAAAGAAAATTCACCAAAAGGATAGACGTATCAGTTTGTTTAGTTTTGGAACCAGGAGTGTGGAAGTGTTATTATGATTACCTACATTGTTTATTGGATAGAAAACTGAAAAGTACGAACTTACAATAGTTTTATAACAGTTCTGAATTGTACAGTAAGTGAATTGGGCTCAGCAGTGCTGTAAGGTCAGGTTTCCCACCTATATTTGTTGATTCAGTGGGATCATATATGTAAACGTGCTTAGAATGAGCCTGTGCTTGGGCATTTTTCTCTAGGAATCTAGGATAGCAGAGATGTGCTCCGGACTCGATTTATCTTAAAGTAGCTTTGTTTTCCTGGTGGTTTGTTCCCATTTCAGGTCTTGAATCATGCACAACACCCTGCCATTACCTGCTCGACTTGGAACCATGCCACCATCACACATTCCCAACCTGTAAAGGAATTGTGCTGTGGACGTTGGTGTTTCGGGATGGGACAGATGGCCTGCGATAGGCTCATCTTGTCGTGTTGTGGGTTTTTGAGTACATCGTATCTGGGAGGGTGTCCATGGCATATTTTCCCTTCTGTATATTTCTGTTTTAAAACTGACTCTAACTCCTTAAAACCATATGTTTAAGATGAAGATGAACTCAATCAGTGCCGTTCTGATAGCATTTGTTAATTTCTAAATGCTACTGGGAGAGACAGAGCCTTGTTGTCGAACCAGTTTGGGAAAAGAACATGTTCAAATTCATACTGGTCTTGTAGGGTTTAGCTCTGGCTGTGGTGTCTCACTTTCCTGGGGCCAGGGACTTGAACAGAAGATGTGGGAGGATTGAGTTAGTGAAATTTAGGTTATTGGATTCCCATGCATACCAGTCAGTGTGCATTTATAGAGACAACCGAATAGATGGCTGCCCAGACTCAGACAATTATAGGTGTGGCCTGTTTTATACAACAGCTGTCTTGTCAATCAGCGTGATCGTCGGGGAAGGGGGGAGTTCTACTTAAAGAAGCCCATCTGGAAACCATTCCCTTTATCTATCTGTGTCAAGCCAAGGTTTCCTTAATCAGATGTGCTTCAAGGAGAGAGGTCTGTAGACAATGTGCGTTTGTCGTTTTTCTCCTGAAAACCAAAAGGACCCTTTGCAGTTTCTGATTCCTACTGTATAAGGAATGTAGGCAGTATGTAGTAGGCCTCTCCTTGTGGTGTTACTATGCTTGTTTGGCTTTTTGCGTTTGGCCAGTGGTTCCTGTTTCACTCCTTAATGTATGACCACTGCTAGATGAAACTTAGAAATACATTTTAGGTAGATTTAAGCTGTAATGTATGGAAACTGAAAGTTGTGAGGGGGGAACATTTGTCAGGGAATGAGAACGAAACATAGTGCTCTCCTTTTGTTGTGGAAGAGCCACATTCCATTGTCATCACCTCATTAAACATACTGCTTAGAAGAAGATGCTGGTTTTACCTGTTTTGTAATTGTCAATATCGCTTGTCGCTGGTGTTTCAAGTTGCAGTTCGAGATAGTAATGCTTTTAACTGTGAGTGTACTGATAATTGTTACTGAGTGTTATTTAGGCAAAGCCAGTGAATTAATTTTCCAACCGAATGGTTGGAGCCAAAGCAGTCAGTTAGATAAGATAATATATAATTTTGTATTAATACCTAACTCTAGAGTCAATTCAGCAAACTTGTATGAAATTGACCTTTCAAATTTGCTTTCATAATTTTATTTTTCAGGATAACAAAGCCATTGACCTTTGCCGATTGTGTTGGGGACGAACTCCCTTTAGGATGGGAAACTGTATATGATAAACAAATTGGAATTTATTACATGGACCACATAAATAGTAAGTAGAGTGCCACATTTGAGTTATATGTGAATGAGTTTTCATGTTGATCTCAAAGATGCTCAAAACTCTTTATAGAGCGAACCAATTGTTCCTGTTGAACACAGCATTAACTGGGATTTTATCAATGTAATCTTCAGTTTTCATTAGCTGAGTTCTTTAAACAGTGAAGCAGTTACGTAGCTGCCTTGCTTGGCTGTTGCTCAGGACTGCATGGAATATGTTTAACGGAGGGTTTTCATATCTAATAGAAGAAATACATTTCCCAGGCAGTCTGGAAATAGAAATATCTTTCGTAATGAGAAGGTGGTTTATTGCAAAGTGGAACTTACAGCTTCTTGAAACAATAAATGCCCAAGTGGTTACCTTAACTTCGTTTTGGTCTTATATGTTTAATTTTAACTTGAATACACCAAACCTTCTTTGTGAAGGGAAAAAAATGGTGTAAAGACTACAGCTAAAATAATGGGTCCTCGGCCATGCCAGCCTTCTTTATAGAATGGTTTTGAGCAGTGGTTCTCGCCGGGGCTGGTTTTGCCTCCCAGGAACAGTTGGTAATGTCTGGAGGCATTTTCGATTATCACACCTGGGGGGTGCTACTGGCATCTAGTGGGTGGAGACAAGGGATGCTGCTAGACTTCCTGCAGTGCACTGGACCGCCCCATAGCAAAGAATGAGCCCACCCCAAATGTCGATGGTGCCAAGGTTGACACACCCAGGCTCAACAGGCTCCGTTGTGTTCTAGATCTGTTCTCCACCCCTCACTCTTGGCTTTCTGCCTCTTCATCAGTCTTCCTCGATCAGGTACCAGCTGGGGATCTATTTCTTTCTCAGATTCACACTTACTCTCTCGCTCTCATTTGTACCCCAGCTGCCCTCAGTGTTTCTGTCATTGTCATTTTTTACTATTGGGGGCATGAGCGTGGCTTCCCCTTAGCATGCTTTCCATCTTCCCATTTATTAGGTGTGGGGAGGCTGGGAGGGCCTGAAGATGCACGATGCCCAGCACGTGAGTGACTTCACAGCTCTTTCCTTACTCCTTATGGCCCCTTAGTGCGATCCACCCAGGTTGGTGTCTTTAGGGCTGATTCCTGCATTGTCACTTGCTGGCTGGCCTCCGAGTTCAAGGTTCAGAAACCTGAATGGCAAGGCTTCCTGTGTCAGTCCCAGGACAGTGGGGTTTCTGAGACGTGGCACTCAGCCTCACACTCACCCAAAGATTGGGCGGTGGGGGTAAGTACTGCTCTGGCCCCGTTGCCCTCCCTGGCAGTGAGCCAAGTGTCAAGAGGGCTTCTGGGTGGAGCCACCACCCACTGGATAGTGCGTGGTGCTTAGCGAGGCTCTAGCTGAGGGCAGCCCTCCCCGTGGCCTGGCTGACATGATGCCTCTTGTCTTTGTGGGTTTGGGGTGTCTGGCCATCTGGGCTCGCCTTCGCAGCGGCTGGCGGGCCACCCACCAGGTGCGTGCTGTGGGCCTGGGCACACGTGCACCGCGGCTTCCTCACCACGCTCTCGCCTACCTGGGCCCAGGTGGTATTTCTGACCTGCATCGGCCTCTGCGCTACACAACCTTTCTGGAAAGTTTGCCTGCCTGCCGCCGAGGCCCAGGACCTATTCTGGCTCATCTCTCTTGTAAACCCACCTTGCTCGTCCCTCCGTGCCCCCTTTGCTGTGGGGGTTCCTTACTTGCCTGCCTGCCGAGGCATGGCAAGTGTTATAGAGTGCCTCTCTGTGCTGACCACTCTTTAGGCTCTGGGGACATGGGAAAGTGAGACCCAGTCTCCACCCTCAAGGATTCGTCATGACACTCCGTGATGAACTGAGATGTGGCCATGAACCCTAAAACTGAGTAATCACCAAGGACTTTCTTCTGGCCACTTGAGTATAACTGGAATAACCCAGCACCGTGGGGATGTGGGTGAAGACATCAGCTCCAGGGTCATGCCACCCCCTTCCTCTGAGACCTTCAGAGAACCCAACTCTTTTTTTTTTTTTTTTTTTTTTTGCGGGAAGAAGAAAGGTTATGGTAATAATTTGTACATGGGCCACAGACCCCATTCCAGAAAACTTGTTCCCGAGAACCCAATTCTTGGTTGCATAGCTTTAAAGGCACATAATCTGAGTCGTCAAATGGTCACTTGGACCCATGCAGGTCAACAGTGGCGTGAGGGACCAGAAGGCCCCTGGTTCGAGTGCCTTCGAAGTCCCTGAGAGCCTCCAGTGCGCTGCCCGGGGTGCCCACAGCACGTGCATGGCCGCGGGCCCCAGACGCGCACCCGGGCTCGGGCGGGACTGAGCGTGGTTGGTGTGTTTGGTTTCCTTTCCCTGTGGGAGCTTTTCAGGCCCTGCGAGGCTTTCTAGGAGGGGCCCTGGGGTGGCAGTGTGCAGGGGGCAGGGGATGTCGGCAGGAGGGGCTTTGAAAAGGAGAAGGTAATTGAAACATCCTAGCAAGCACTCTTTCATGTGTGTCTGGGAAAGTGAGCATGACTAAAATTTATCTTTTTAACCATTTTGAGGTGAAATGCACAGAACATAAAACTAACCATTTTAAAGTGTACGGTTCAGTGGCATTTGGTGCATTCACAGTGTTGTACAACTACCACCTCTGTCTAGTTCCAGAATGTTTCACCACCCCAAGGTAAAACCCCGAACCCAATAGCAGTCACTCCTCATTCCCCTCCAGTCCCTCAGCCTCTGGGCAACCATGAATCTCCTTTCTGTCTCTCTGGACTTGCCTCTTCTGCACGTTTCATCTGAATGGAATCATTCAATATGTGACCTTCTGTGTCTGACTTTTTTCACTCAGCATGAGGTCTTCGAGGTCCATCCGTGTTGTCACGTGTATCAATACTTTATTTCTTTTATGGCTGGATACCATTCCATTGTATGGGTAGACCACATTTTATTTCTCCATGCATCAGTTGATGGAATTCAGGTTGTTTCCACCTTTTGGCTGTTGTAACAGTGCTGCTCAAGCACACTTTAAAAGAATAATTTTGCATATTTTTTTAGGATTTGTGTAGGGGAATTTTATGAGCATTTCCTTCCTATGAACTCTCGCTTGTTTTGTTTTGGCTGCCAGCAGCCTGCATATATTTACCAGTATGTCATCGTTATAATATAGGAGCCGCCATGGCCTGGGGTCTCTAAGTTTGGAACAGGGGCTCTGCTTTCCAATTTTTACTTCATTTAGGGTGGCACTTCCGTTGAGATCTCCACTAGGAGATTTGTTGTAATGAAGGAGGGTCGCCTTTCCCAAGTCTGGATGTCTTTCCCCTTTGCTTGCTCTGCCTCCTCAATCTAAGGACCTGATTTGGGGACCGTAGTCCTCTGTCTGTGGAGCAGACTGCCCCTTCCGTTCCTTGTTCAGTGACCCTGCAGTCAACAATTATTGATTGCCTTCTGAATTCCAGACTAATGAAAGGTCCTGAGAATATAAAGATGACTGAGGCTGTGTACCTGCCTTCTAGGGGCTCATAGTTTAGGTGGGAAACAAATTCAAAAACAATTTTATGTGCCAAGTTGTAAGTGGTCAGAACAGCAGTCCTAGCCGTTGAATGGAGACGTGGGTGCTTGAAGGGGCAGAGAAGGCTTCAAAAAAGAGGTGCCTTTGCAAAGGGAGTTGGAAGATGGTAAGGTTTCCTGGAGGGCAGAAGAGGAAAGAAGCAGCATAAGCAAAGGCACAGATGAGTGTTTCCACAGATGAGGACTTTGGAAAAATTCAGTCTGTTTAGAGGATGTTTATGGGGAAAAGGACAGAAACTCGAAATGAAGCTGGCAAGTTAGTTTCAGGACTCGTGTATCACGTGGAGGAGATGGGACTCTGTGCTTTAAAAGAAGTTCATGTGTTAAAGAACTGCAAGCAGAGTTAGAAAGGTAACTTTGGTGAGTGTGCCGAGGATGGCTTTTGGTGGGGTGAGAGAGGAAGCCTGGATGTTCTTGGAGAGAGATCATGAGGGTCTGATTGAACTAAGGGAGATGGAGAGACGGATATGTTGTCAGTCAGTATTATATCTAGGGGCAGGGATCACCCATTCTTGATGACCCACAGAATATTCTGGGTGAGGAGGAAGAGCAGGAGTTCTCGGGGGATGAGCCCCAGGTTGGATTGCTCAGTTGGCTAAGTGGGTAGATCTGGATGATGCTGCTCACTCGGAGAGGGAAGGCGTTTGTTGTTGTGTCATGGTTTGGTTTGGTTCCGGTTTTGGTAGTGAAAGGGTGCTGTGTGAGAAGGAGTTGTGCTGTGCACGGATGACTCAGAGTTACTTTGGGTCTGTCCAGGTGGAACTGTGTCTGGGAGGCAGCTGGAAAGAAAAGATGGGAGCTCAGGAGAGAGGTTGGAACCAGAGGTAGGCATGAGCCCTTACCAGAGCTTGTAGGGTGAGAAAGGCAGAGTGGAAAATGCAGGGATTTATGGTGGGAGGAGGCAAGGAAGTCCACAAAGGATGCAAAAAGACTGCACAGTCCGGTGTGGAGGGGAAAGGAGAAGGGGGGCAAGCCCGTCAGAGCGACAGCAGAGCTGATTGCACCCCGAATTAAAGAAGTCACTGAGAAGAAGCTTGGAAATACCTGTTAGTTTGACAGTGACGAGCTCATTCGGGTTTATCTCTGCCAACATTTATTTACAGTGCGAAAACTTGTCTGGTATTGTCTTCCTCCTTCCAATGAACTATTTCGTATCTTATAGAGTTTCCTCCTCATTTTAGCTGTGGATATAAAAATAGATGTTCCACACTTTAGGAAGGTTCATGATGTAGATGCTTCCATAGTGTGCATCCTGGTGATTAATTAATTTTCATATCAATTAGTCACATAATTGCATGACTCTTGGTCAACCTAAAGATTGTACTTTTAAGTCATTTACATTTTACCCTTTTAATTTCAGAGCTTACCCAGATTGAGGATCCCAGAGAACAGTGGAGGCGAGAGCAGGAGCGGATGCTGAAGGAATATTTAATTGTAGCCCAGGAGGCTCTCAATGCCAAGAAAGAGATCTACCAGATTAAGCAGCAGCGGTTCGAGCTGGCTCAGGAGGAGTACCAGCAGTTGCACAAAATGTGTGAGGACGATAGCCGCTCGTATGCCAGCTGTGAGTTGATTGCCTTCTACGGTTAACACATGTGACTTTAAAAGCCATCTCTCTGCTAGGTTGTCTGCAAATGCTGTACTTAACTTGGGCAAGACAGCTTCATAAAATTTCTAATCACATAGGTAATCAGTATTCTGCACTGTAGTCGGATGGTCATCTGGTACCCACTCCTTTAGCAAATATTTATCAAGTGCCTGCCTTGTGTCTAGGCACTGTGATAGGGTGGAGACTAAGAAAGAAAAGGTACCTGCCCTCATGGAGCTTACATTCAAGAGGGGTGGGTAGAAAATAAACAAGCAAATTTCAAGTGGTGACATGAAACAATCTTGTGTCTCACGTGTGTCAGTGTGAGAAAGGGCTTCACTGGGCACCTCTGCCGTTAGTAGTGCTTGTCTGGGGTGACCTGTGGGAGATCCACATGGCGGTTTCCTCGATCCTAGCTGCAAAGCTTCAGGAGCCTTCACACGTGTCAAGCACCTGTCTCTTCGTGCCCTCTCTTGGGCAGTAACACTGAAGGCAGAGGAACTCAGTGTGACCCAGGGAATCAGGGGAATCTCTTTCTGTGCCTCAAGTTAGATGGATGCACGCTGATCTTCTCAAGAGGAATCCCTCTTAGTTTTGGACGCTGCCAGAAGTGGGCTCCCCTTTCCTTAGTACTCAGCAGATGCTCAGGGATTGAAGGAACCAGATCCAGTCTCAGAAGCAAAAGCATTTTGTTACTGACCCCGTCAGCCACTGCTTGAGCCCGTCCCTTCCCTACAGAGTTGTCACACTTAACAACCCACTGTGGGTGCACACAGCCACGGCTGTCCTGGGGTGCCAGTGAGCCCGGGGAGAAGGTATGCAGTTGCTACTGCTAGGTTTTATTTTATAAAAACCTAAGTCTAGTTGAAACATGGAAAGACTTGCTTGTGACAAGACTGCATGTGGCCAGGTATTTGGCTCTGGTGACCCAGCTTTGAAGATTAAAGAAGTGGTCCAAGCTTTATTCTGTGTTGCAAGTCCCAATGGAGTTAAGGCCAAGGGGCCGTGTGTCTTTTTTAATGTAGCTGCCGTAGAAGGTGACTAAGCCATACAAGCTGTGGAGAAGAGAGAGGTGGCATTTCCCCTCTGTGACAGGAATTTAAGGTAGTTCCATCACCACGTGCCCTGTGAGAGTGTAGGGACTCAAGTATAGTGGTATATTGTTTCCAGGTTGTCTTATCTCTTGTTCTTCAGTTACTGGTGTGTACTAGATCTTTTTGGTTTTTGTTTTTTTAACTGTCCATCAGAATGCAATAGGTCAACTCAGTGCTAATTTTTAGAGGCTGGTTTCTTATCTCAGGAGTTTTCTTTTCTTGTAATGTCTTTCTCTGATTTCAGTATCAGGACACTCCTGGCCTCACAGAATGAACTGGGAAGTGTTCCCTCCTCCTCTCTTTTCGGAAAGAACTGCATCTCACCCATACACCTCACAGATTTCCCGAGTGATGGAAATCACCACAATAAAACTCTGTTCACTGGAGAGGAAAGGTGTTGTGCCAATATTGGGCCCCCTGATATCTAAGAATATCTAAGCCTTGACCTTTTTTGTCCCTGACCAAAGCAAACTCAGAGGCTTTGCTGAATTTCAGCCCACATATTTCCATGAAACTAAGACCCCAGCTTTATTTGTGTGAGCTTGTGAGGTAGCTGCCTGAGACCCAGCCCTGTTCTGTGCTTTGTGGAAAGCTGGGATGGAACGGCTTTACAACGGACTCTGTCTCCGTAAGACACCTGGTACTTTTTCTACAGTTCCATTTTGTAGAATTTTCTCCTACTTTTCTCATCCTAATATGTTCTTCTATTTGCCTTCCTTTTAACACTAAACGCATTCGTTATTTCAGAAACTTTTTTTTGGAGTTACTCTTTCATTCTACCTGAGAAACTCTAGCCTCCAGATGTGTTCAGATGAAGTATATGACCATTTGCAGGATTTTTTTTTTTTTTTTGAGGAAGATTAGCCCTGAGCTAACATCTGCTGCCAATCCTCCTCTTTTTGCTGAGGAAGACTGGCCCTGAGCTAACATCCATGTCCATCTTCCTCTACTTTATATATGGGAAGCCTACCACAGCATGGCTTGCCAAGTGGTGCCATGTCCACACCTGGGATCCAAACCGGCGAACCCTAGGCTGCCGAGAAGTGGAACGTGTGAACTTAACCACTGCGCCACGGGGCCAGCCCCTGCAGGATCTTTTGGAAGGAATTCTTGCATGGGGTAAATTATAGTCTGAACCACAGGTCAGCAAATTATGTATGGCCCATGGGCTAAATTCTGTCCCCTCTGGGTGTTTGTAAATAAAGTTTTATTGGAACACATCCACAGCCCATGGGCTAAATCTTGTCTGCTCTGCGTGTTTGTAAATAGAATTTTATAGGAACACAGCCACTTCCAATCACTTACCTGTTGTCTGTAGCAGTTCTAATGGCAGAGTTGAGGAGTGTGAGACAGAGACTGTGTAGCCCCCAAGGCAAAACTATTTATTATCTGGCCCTTTGCAGAAAAAGTTTCCCAATGCCTGGTCTACACCAGTAGTTTTAACCTGGCTGCTGGTAAGAATCTCATAAAGGGGGCCAGCCCCAGTGGCCTAGTGGTTAAGTTCAGCATGCTCTGCTTTGGTGGCCCGGGTTTGATTCCCAGGCACAGACCTACACTGCTCTGTTAGCCGCCATGCTGTGCTGGTGGCCCACATACCAAAAAATAGAGCAAGATTGGCACAGATGTTAGCTCAGGGTGAATCTTCCTCAGCAAAAAAGTTTAAAAAATAAAAAGAATCTGATAAAGGGCTTTTAAAAACTACTACTGCCTGGGCCCCACACCAAGAGATTTTGATTTAATTGGCCTTGAGTGGGATCAGACTTTTTTTTTTAAGTTCCCCAAGTAATTCCCAGAGTTGAGATCCACTAGTCTGGATTGACTGTGACCGTCTCTTCTAGCAGCAGGAATGTGACTTTTATTACCCTGGCTCCTAGGAGCTACCAGAAGTCTACATCTGAAGTCTCTGGGTGCTTGGGAAAGAGTCGACCTTATCTCCGGTGAGAAAGTGCTGACCCACCCTGAATTCCTGGGGTAGGTGGTGGTGAAGCTTGACCTTATCAGTCATCATTCTTTCTGCGGCTCCAAGCCCATTCCACGAAGACTATCTTCCATTGGTTCTCTCTTAAAGGATTTCTGTCTACTATCTAGGTTAGGATAAGGGCCACAGTCTGCTCTTTCAGCCTTTTGTTTTCCTTCATGTAAGCATGTTGGAGCAGGCAGGAGAAAAACGGATCACGCAGCATTTTTCACAGGTGTTAGTTGGCAGGACTCAGTCTTGGAGGTTGGAGCAGAGCACACGTCTACTGAGAGAGAATTTCCGCGTCCACCCTAGAGAGAGTTCTTGGTTTGGATTTGGTGGCTTCTTGCATTACTTCTGTAGGCCATCCCTTGGTGAGCTGGATCTTTTGGTGCTTTACTTACCAGGCCTTTAAAAACAGTCATGCCCTCCTTTGTTGGCCTCGGCTATGTGCGTGTGTGCTTTTGTCACTGCTCTGGTAATTAGTACCTGTTAGCATGGAAACTGTCAGGGCTTGCCGTCCTTTCTGCCAGAGTCGTCCTTGACTCCCGTGAGCAGCTCCCACAGTGCTGATGCCTGGAGGTGCACACCTGGTCCTAAGGAACGGTCTGCCTGGAGGACGTCTTTGGAGAAGGACTACTGCTCTTCTAAAATCTGTCATCCCCCTGGGGTGATCTTAGGTTCTCACGGTACAGAGGAGGCCTGTGTGTAAGAGAGAAACCAAGACAGACAGACACACGGACATACACGTTTCCCCCTTTCAATAACCTGTCAAATTGGAATCCAAGATAAGTACTGGGCTCTGCAGCGTCTTGAGCACTAAATACACAAGTCAAGCTCACATATTGGGCAATGGGCATTTGGGCGCCGGAGGGCCATTCCTTCTTACATTGGAAAAGCTAATCTGATTAAACAGTGTTGGTCAGCTGACCCACAGGAGCCCACGTTCTAGACACAGCTCCCTCTATGACTGATGGCCTAGTATAGATCAAGTGACTGCAAACTCAGTCTTTAATCTATCGAATAGGGAAATGCCATCATCCTCTCACAAAGATTTTATGAGAATAGATGAAATAAATGTGAGAGGCAGCCTATAATAGTAAGGTATAATAATTTACATTGTTGTGGTCCAGCTAAAGTAAATCCTTATTATTACGTCCCCCAGAGCAGTAGTGTTTGCCTGAGCAGGCTCGTTAAGCTGCCTAACAGCTCTGCCCACTCAGCTCTTCAGGAGAGAAGGCTTCGGAGGTGGAAGGCTGGTATTTATTGTAAACCTTGAGATTGGAGACATGTCTTAACAGGGGAAGATATTTCTTTTTCTAAATGTTGTAGAGCACATGCTGTTAAAAATGGAGTCTGGAGTCCTGAGCTATTCCTTAGAGTCCAGAAATGGGTTCTATTAGACTTATTGGCAGACATAAGGATTTGAGAATTTGTGTAAGTTGAATTATATTATTAAAAGTTCTGCCTCCACAGCTCTCCTGAGCATTTGAAGATAAAATGTATTTGCTGTCTTAGGTACTTGAGTTACCTTTTCCTTCATCCCAGTCTTGGAGTTGTATCACTGTAGAGACCATAGCAGAGGTAACATGAACAGTATCAGCATAAGGAAAACCTGTCCTATCATTTAGGATAGTTTCAACTGCAGAAAAGACTCACTCCCACGGGCCTGGACAGTAAGGAAATCCATTGTCACATAACAGTCCTCCCAGGTCGGGTGGGCTTCCCATTGGTGAATTCGGTGGTTCAGTGATGACGTGGTTTATAAGACACCCTCCAGGACTGCGTACGTGCTGAGTCTCCTGGGGGAGAGGTGGACACCCGATGACCTCAGGGTTCTGTTAGTTAGGAAGGAGAACTGGGGGGCAGGTTGCTGTATATTTGTCCAACTCTACCTGCTGCACCTCCCATGTTCATTTCAAGTCTCTCTGCTAATTTTCCCTGTGAAATTGTACAGACAGATTTTGTGGCAACAGTTTTGGATCGCTATTACTGATGTTTAACATTGCAGTTTACTTCCCTGGACTGTGGTGGTGGGGTTACCTTCTACCCCAATGGGAAAGATCCCAGGTGATAACTGTTGGCATTGTCTTCCTCAGCTGTAAGGGAGCCAGCAAGCCCTAGGCTCTTTTGCATATTATCTGGGTCTCAAGTGGAAGCCCATTAAGCTCAGATGTGAGAAACTTGTAAGTCCCAGGAGTTTAACATGGAGATTTTATCGAAATGATTTCTGCCTCTTAAGGGCATTGTTTGAGGTGTTGCTTTCGTTATTGATCTTAAATGAAACCAAAGAGTCAGACAAGATGGAAGGTGTAAGATTTGGAAATAGACGTTCTTCGTCTAAGAAAGAATTCTATTTTAATATAGACATAATCTGTCTTTGAGAGATTATGATTCTAAATATAAGAACATTTGAGATAAAGTTGGCAAACAGCTCCTCCAGATATTGTTTCTGGTAGATTCTAGTGGTTTGGAATTCTGACTGATGGAGGCTTAAATAGATTTTCCATAAAACTGTTTTTTAAAAAAGGAGATATGTGAACTGCTCAAATTAACATTGGATGTGGTTCTAGTTGAGGCTATTAAATAATCTTGCTGTTTAAGCCACTTGATGGCTTTGAGCCGTCCTTTCCAATATAAAGTTAGGTAATGATTTTGAACTGGTTTCTTGGTGTTGGCACCTAAGTTACCTGAAGTCGGCCTTCAGTAACCAGAGCAAAGGAGTAAAAGAAAGGATGCTGACCCTGCAGATGGGTCCTCTGAGCAGGTGAAGTTAATGACAATGACCGGGAGGCAGATTATACCAGTGCGAGGTGACTCACAGATGGAGACAAAGGAGCACTCTACCAGCTTAGGAAGAGATAGAAACCAGGTCACTGCAGCACAAGAGCTGATGGCTTCAGAAGCCTGAGAGAAAGAGACAGAAGCGTCAAGAAAAAGCAATGCAGAGGGGTGAACAGGGTGATAGAAATTAGAAATGGCTACTAGCTGCTCCAGCTGTGGAAACACCGGGAAAGGTTTTCAGCTCTCTGCAGACAGAAGTTGGCTAACTGTGCTAAGCACACATGAACAGCTCTTCATGTCTTCTTCACAGGTATTGGCTCTTTATAAGAGTGATGCTGTGTCTCTAAAATGTTAATCGTTTAAGAGCCAGTGCCAACTTTTAAATCTGAGACTTAGAATTAATTGTTTAATATGGTGAACCAGAAGTTCCTATCTATGTGTATTTATTTATTTATTTTAAAGGATCTATTATAAAATAAAATGTTTTCCTTCTGTTTAGCCTTCTCTGGATATTCAACAAATACAAAGTATGATCCACACCAAATTAAAGCAGAAATAGCAAGTCGTCGGGATAGGGTGAGTAAAATGAGTGTTTTTACAACTAGAAGCCCCCCATGTATTTTTATGTAACATCACTTATCGTGGTTCATTTTATGGTGGTCAGTGTGTCTAACACTCTCATTTTAGTAAGATTTTTTGTTTCATGGATTATTATTACATTTGGTTTTACTCTCCATGTTTTCCAATAGGAGGGAATAAGTTTCATTTGAAAACCTCAGTCCATCTAACAAAAAATTGCCTGTATCCCTCTTTGTATTTCCTGGGGCTAGACTCACCCCCCATTTGGAAAGATCTGGTCACATCAGGGCCTGATCTCAATGGCTGCTTCCCTATATTAGCAGGATGCCGGCCTTGACCCTCAGCAGCTTTAGCATCTGCTGAACTCCCCTGGTTGCTGTATTCCTAGAGAAATCTTTCTTGCAATGGCATTTAACCAGAAGGTTCTGATGCTTCTTCCCCCGTGATGCCAGAATTCTTTCTGTGCCACCTTGTTTCACCCCTTGAGCCCCTTGTCTTGGTTGTCTGGAAAGGGGAACAGTCTTGTTGCATTTGCAACAAAGCATAGGAGACATCTTGGAAACGAAGCCTCCTGTTCTGATGTCTCATTACCTCAACCAGAGTGTACCTTTTAGTGCAGTGGTTCTCACATTCTACACCTAAGAAAAACACCTGGGCAGTTGGTTAAAAGTGTAAACTCCTAGGCCCACCCCCTGAGTTTTAACACAGACCTGGAGCAGGTCCCAAACTGTTTAAATAAGCACTCCAGACTATTTTAACAACAGTGTTTCACATGTAGGATCTATGAGTGGTAAGTAGGAGGGAAGATGAAAACAGTGTTACAGAGTTTGCTAATTGTACAGTCATGTGTTGCTTAATGACGGGACACGTTCTGAGAAATGCATCAGATGATTTCGTCATTGTGCAAACATCACAGAGTGGACCTACACAAACCTAGATGGTATAACCTACACACCTAGGCTACAGGGTACTAACCTTATGGGACCACCATCATATATGTGGTCTGTCGTTGACTGAAACGTCGTTACGCGGCACATAACTGTAATGTGTAAATCAGCACCTTGAAAAAGAAAATAGTTGCTAGTTCCACCTGAGTAGGAACATGTTAGTGACCTGGGATTTTTGTATCTAACCGAGGCAATTCTTCTAGGATGGCTGTTTTATATGCCTACTCAGTGAAAGTTAATGGAGAGAATAGACGATCCAGTGAATTGCACACTAATCAGAAACTTAGATGACATGCTAACAACTGTAGACATAATTTTTCACAGCTTCTTTCTTTGGAAAAAAAAATGTAATTTGTCTTTAGCTTTCCAGATTAAAACGAGAGCTGACCCAGATGAAGCAAGAACTACAGTACAAAGAAAAGGGGGTGGAGACTCTGCAAGAGTGAGTTTCCTGCGGTTCTAGAAGGAGGAGCTTCCCTTTGCTGATTTCCTTTTGTGCTGACCTGTTTGGTGCCTGGACATGTGTCCTAAAGCCTCATGGGCATCCACTTCTCTGCTTTTATTTATGCACACTGTTGCCCAGTCCTAAGCATCAGAATCTCCCTTTTCCTTGAAGATACTCAATTCTTTACATGGAAATACTTGGGAAACAAGACCTTTATTTTCTATTTATGCACATTCTCAATAGCCGTACTGTCCAAGACACACATGGCTGTTTAAATTTGAATTCCAGTTTTGTTAGTTTTAGTCTCAAGTTTTTTATTCTAAAATTTAAATGATCTAAAATTAAGTAAAATAAAAAATATAGTCCCTAACCCTCAGTAGCCACATCTGAAATCCTCAGTAGTCACATGTGGCTAGTGCAGATTTTCTCCACCTCAGCACTATTGGCGTTTGGGACCAGATGACTCTTTGTGGTGGGGGCTGTCCTGTGCATCATAGGATGTTTAGCGGCATCCCTGGCCTTGACCCCCTAGATGTCAGTAGCACCTTCCCACCCAGTTCTCACAGCCAAAAATGTCTCCAGACATTGCCAAGTGCTCCCTGGAGGGCACGTTTGCCCCTGGTTGGGAACCACTGGGCTAGTGGCCACTGCGTTGGACAGCACAGATAATAGAACGTTTCCGTTATCACAGATCAGTCTATTGGACAGTCTGGTCTATAGATCTCCCTCCTGTTGGCACCTTTACAATTAGAACTTTATCCCTACTAAGAGTTTAGGGATTAATTTCTTATTATTTGTGAGCTATATTAAGTCAGCAAATCCACTGAACAAAAGTTATTTTATAAGTGGTTATATTGTTGGTCTGAAAGAATTACTTTTCTTAAGAAAGGGTATTGTATGCCTGTTGGTCGAGAGTCCATTCTCTCTCGATTCAGAAGCTGGCTTCACTTGCTGAACTTGGGCATGTGCTTCACACCTTCTGTGCCTACTTTTCTCATCCGTCAGTGGGGATTGTCTTAGTCAGCTAGGGATGCTATAACAAAATACCATAGACTAGGTGGCTTAAACAGCAGGCATTTACTTCTCGCAGTTCTAGAGGCTAGAAGTCCGAGATCAAGGCACTGGTGAATTCGGGATCTGGTGAGGGCCTGCTTCCTGGCTTGCAGAAGGCTGCCTTCTTGCTGTGTCTTCATGTGGTGGTGGTGGTGGGGAGCTCTGGTCTCTGATGTCTCTTTCTGTTCTTATAAGGACACTAATCGCATCATGGGAGCCCCACTCTCGTGACCTCATCTAAATCAAATCACCTCCCAAAGGCCCCATCTCAAAGTACCATCGCATTGGAGTTAGGGCTCACCATATGAATTTGGGGGGAGCATGAACATTCAGTCCAGAAACAGTAATCACTGGGCCAGATTGTCCGGGGGGCAGCTCCAGTGCCTGCTACCTAGTCAGCCGTGAGCAAATGGCAGGGATCCATGTGGTTACTATTCTCGGTAAAGGTGGGCAGCATGCCACTCGCTTTCATCCTGTGTGCACACACAATGATAGTGTGTCAAATGTGACTGCAACATTGCTCTTTATAGGGAGGTGATATAAGAATATGAGTGAGTGACAAACGTAATTATCTCAGCCTCATATAAAGGGTAATTACCGGACATGTTGAACCCTGCTGTTCAATACTGGGTTGAGATTCACTTTCTTAATCATCCAGGATTGGTTTGGTAGATGATTCGTTTGTCCATTTCTTTATTAAGGACATATCATAGGCAGCAAGGGAGACACAATAGGAAAGTGAGCTGGGTCCTGCCTAGAGGGGCTTGACTTTCTCTGGCCCTGAGACACGGCCATGCCCCCTGCCGGTCCCGCCGCATGGTGGGTTTTGGCAGGTGTGAGCTGGAGTCTTTTAACCTTACTGTTGGCTTTTTGCTTTCTCTCCCATTACCCAGCAGTGTCTCTGTGTGTGCACGCGTGCACATGTGCACGCACGCACACATTGTCCTGTGATTTGGATCCACTGTGGGCTTCCTTTAATTAACCCTAGTCCCAGCACACACAGAAGCATGCTAGCAGGCATCTCAGTATCTGGAGGCTGGCTGGGCTCTGTGGGGTAAAATGATAGATCGTATATCAGTGCATTGGGAAGCACCGTAGCAAATGGACAAAATAAGTAACAAAACCAGTAGCTGATATTGAAAAAGAAGCTTGATTTTCTTAAGCAAAACTGTTTTTAAAAAACTGGACTGCTAGGACTGTCTAGATGAATTAGAGGTTGATCCCCTTCTTTCATTTGGCTTTCTCTCATTACCAAGAGAACCAAGACTTCATGTCTCTAAATAATACCTACTTTTAATGCTAGGCATTGTGTGGGCTGCAGGTCACAGTTAATTTAATTCTTACTCGCAGAAGCTCTGGTGAAGGTGATCAGGGTTCAAGGTGGTTCAGGAACACTCTGAGATCGTAGAGGACCCTGAGTCTCAGAGGGGAGTCTGCCTGGTACCTTTCCCCACTGGCTCTGGCTTCTGTAGTGGAATTGCTGGGCCTGTTCCTTTGCTGGACTCCATCACTCCGGCCACCTCCATTTCCTTATGTGAAGACGAAGGTTGTATTGCAATGTCAGCTTGAGACTGAACACCCTAGCAAATAAAAGGTGCCGGGCCTCAGGTGACTGAGAACCCCTTCCCCTTGGCATTGCTAGGAAGTAAATTCATTTCTTGCAGTCAAAGTAATTTTAAGAATAGGAAAAGGCGACCTCAATTTCTCCAGGTTTATTGGACAGGAAGCAGAATCTAGTATGGGAGAGTTGTAACTTTACACCTGCAGCTGGAGCGCAGTATGAGTTGTGCTCCTGCAAAGAGAAGGGCCAGTGCTATTTGTATTTTCTTTCTGCTTTCCCTAGCAAGAACCCACGTGTGGGAGCGGTGATGATAACCATGGTCCCCACCAAGGGGACGATTCTCACTCCCTGCCAGAACCTGTGGAGACACCTCCCCTGAGGAGTGAAGCTGAGGAGTGGCTAGGGGGAAGATTCTGGACCTGTCCTTGGTCTTTGGGGACCTACCCCAGCTTTTCAGATGGAGCTGCCTCAGGAGCTGCATTGTCACTGCACATATTCCCTCTGTTCTGTGACACAGCGTCTCAGGAAGGAGAGAAAACATGGGCTCTCATGCCACGCTTAGAATTCTTTGCAAGTGAGAAATAATCTACTAGCTGTCTTCTGAGTTACACAGGCTACGTGTGAGACAAAAACCATTGAAGATTGAATTGAAGATTGGCTCCTAGGTTTGGGTTGAATCATGCAGATTGGTGTTATTTATTGAGAAATTTTGAAAACCTTTTTGTAAGCGTTGATAATGTGATTACCCCACCCCTACTGTAAGATCCTAACTCTAAGCACAGATAATACATGAGCTGTTGTACATAAATGGGCTTCTTGGATATTGTTAACCTCAATTTAAGGCAGAGACCGAAGGTTTTCCTCCAGAAAATTTTCTGCTGTCCTTGCTTCCCAGAATATCCAGTGTATTCTTTTCCAGAGCACCTCACCAGGAGTTTGGCTGCTTATAGCATTTTAAACTTGACTTGTTTATCTTGGTGAACTTTCTTGGCTAGCAAGGAAATCCATCATTACGCTTGGGTCCAAGTGAGGGAAAAAGAACCTTTTGTTTTTTTTTTTAAGTCTATGTATGTTGTTAATTTTTGTAGATGGGAGCTGGCCATGAACACAGTCTCTGAGTGAACAATAGAATATGTATGTGTGTGTATGTGTTATATATATAAACTTTTTTTTAAAGATTTTATTTTTTCCTTTTTCTCCCCAAAGCCACCCAGTACATAGTTGTATATTCTTAGTTGTGGGTCCTTCTAGTTGTGGCATGTGGGATGCCGCCTCAGCATGGCTTGATGAGTGGTGCCATGTCCACACCCAGGACTCAAACTGGCGAAACACTGCAGCAGAGCATGCGAACTTAACCACTCGGCCACCGGGCCGGCCCCCTTTTTTTTTTTAGATTTTATTTTTCCTTTTTCTCCCCAAAGCCCCCTGGTACATAGTTGTATATTTTTATTTGTGGCTCCTTCTAGTTGTGACATGTGGGATGCCGCCTCAGCATGGCGTGATGAGTGGTGCCATGTCTGCGCCCAGGATCCGAACCTGTGAAACCCCAGGCTGCTGAAGTGGAACGTGCAAACTTAACCACTTGGCCATAAGGGCCAGCCCCATATAAACTTTTAATGATGGAAAATGTCAAACATACACAAAACTAGAGAGAATAGTGTAATGGAACCCTCCTATACCCCTCACTTATTTCAACAACTAACCACACAACGGCCAACCTTGTTTTGTCTGTTACCCCACCCCATCCCCCAAGCTCCTACTGCCTTATTGAAGCAAATCCCAGAGTGATATTTAATTCATAGATGTCTCTCCTAAGATTATGGACTCTCTTTGAAAACATTACTATAATACCTGTTAATCCATCTTAATAGTAATCTCTTGATATTGTCACTTCTCCAATGAATTTTCCTATTTCTCCAGTTTGTTTGGGTCCAGGTTCAGACGAAACCCACACAGTAAGTTTGATTGGTCCATCTCTTAATCTCTACTCCCCTCTCCTTTTTTTTTTATCTTTGTTGAAGAAACTAATTTGTTTGCCCCGTAGAATTTTCCTGACACTGGATTTTGCTGCTTGAATGTGCATGGTGTCATTTACCATGCTCCTCTGTCTCCTGCTATTTATGCAAACTGTTGTAATATTAGTTTGAGAGGCTTCATCTAATTCAAGTTCAGTTTCTTTTTCTTTTCTTTTTTGGGGGGGTTAGCGTGTCCTGTAGATGGTGGTGTTACTTCTATCAGGGGTCCACAGTCTCCGGTTGTCTCTTTTTGTGGTGTGAAGATTATTGGTGGGTTCTGGCATTGTCGGCCTGATACATCCATTCATGATGTTTCCCATCAGCTGGTCACCTAATGCTGTGCACGTGTAGATAGGAAAGATTTCAGG